ATGGCTGCCACCAGTCTGGGCCCAGGTCTGGGCATAGCCACCCTCTCAGACCATGTGACACCACAGACCGCTCCACATCTGCTCAGCAGGTGAAGGGTCAGCTTCTGAGAGAACATGTTGCCTGTTATACCACAAGTCCACGAAATGGTGGAGTAATTTGAATTTTTTGTTCTTCATCCTACTTTTCTGTATTTTCTTCAGGAACAAGTACTATTTAAATAACCAGACAACAAAAAAATTTTTTTAGAAAGCAGGATTTATTGAGAGGATAGAAAAGCTCCCACAGTGGGAGGGGACCTGAAGGAGTTGCCCAAAAACTTTTTTTTAAAGGTAAATTATGCTACCATTCCCTTAGCTGAATTTTTGCCTTTGCAACATTGTATTTGATCGTGTATGTAGGATATACCTGAACAGGATGAATCTTTAGGTTGGAAAAGCATGGTGGGGATTGTTAAAGAAAAACAACTGTTCAATGATATTTGTTACAGCGTGGTAAAAAAGACTTTATTCAGGACCATCATGATAGGTATAATAGGGGCCACTGCAAAGGGGTCTTTCCATGTGAGAATGATGTAGAGACCCACTAATGTCCCTCCACATTGCCATAGCACCTAGAGAAGGGCATGGCGGGAATTCAAGCACTCCTGCACATTCCTAAGCACGTTACTGAGAGTCCCCTTACCTTGTATGCACTACCAGTAAGTAGCTTCAGGGGATCCTTAACTTCCTGGCAGATGACACCCAAAGATGTAGATCCCTATTTACTCACTTTCTTTGAACTATATCATATCAATGTAATCCTGAGTCTTGTGATTTGCATAACTTTTGCAATGCATGATGTCTTAGGCTTTGTAAACTTTCTTTATTCTAAATGTCACTATCTACAAGTAAAATGCAGTTGTAACTTAGGTTCTATACAGTGGTCTGCTGGTCCTGTGGCTAATGTATAGGTATCGACAACTCTGGACGATAAAAGTGGACTGCGAGGCCTGAAAGGTGAGCAGAACCATTTTAGCTTCCGAGACCAGGCGAGATTTGGCACATTCTGGGTAGTATGGCTGTAGACATGCAGAACCATTTTAGAAAGACCTCCAGTTCGGCTCTGCTCCCTGGATTTGAATTCAGAAATAAACTTCTTTCTACCAATTCCTTGCCCCCTGGGTTTACTGGTATCAAGGGGAGTAGTCGAGCTTTACTCAGACCATAACAGGCGAGAGATTGGGTTCAACTCTGAATCCAACATGGGCAAGTAGGAATTTATAGCCAAGGAACAGGGGTGGAGGGTGTCAGTGGATAGAAAATTACTAAGAGGAAACAACAAGGTTCAGGGGTCTTCTGGCAAAACTGACCTAATGGGATTCTTGCTGAAGACAGGCCAGGGTGATCAGACACCAGAGGACTGGTAGAGAATGAAGAATCTGATCAGATATCAAGGGTGATCAGATATTAAAGGTGGAAGGTTCTTTCCAAATTGACTTAGTAGGATACTATGCTAAAACTGGATTTCGCAAGGAAGTACACAGATGGGTCTAGGAGAAGGTTCAGAAACCTAAATAAAGTTTGTACACAGGAGAAACCTGAACAGAGCCTGACAGCCAAGCAAAGAATTGCTGTCAGCAATAATTGGAAATTTGTTTTATTAAAACACCTTGTCCTTGACTTATTTTTCATGTGTCCCAATCTCTTTCAGGAATATGGTCCATTTTAATTTGCATGAGTGACAATCTGTATGAGTCTTGGAGAGGCACTTCTATAATAATTTATGTTTTAAATTGCTCTGAGTGGACAAAGGTGTCCTAGAAGGTAGTATTGCTCTAATTATAAATCTTCTAAAAGAAATCAGAAACTAAGCAACAAGAACTAAAATTAATTTCTTTTTGGACATCTTTTATAGCCAAGATGAGTGTTTTATACTTTAAGAGAGAAGCAGATGGCTTGATGGGCTGGAATATCAATGCAAGCCCCTCTCTGACATCAGTACTTTTACTATTTTCCTACAACACAGAACAGTATTGAATCAGGAAATAATGGGGCTGCAAAGGAACTGTCCAATTTTTAAAAGTCTTTACTTATTGGTTGTCCTTAAGAAGACTTGAAGTATCTCACTATTTCAAGTTAATCCCAAATTCATCATCTGAGCTAAATAGAGATGCCACTAACCTAGAGGAAAGTTTAATTGGACTCTCTGTGCTTAGAAGCCTGGAATCTCACCTTGATGTTTCCTTCATCTCGTGTCCTTTCTATTATCTTTTTGTAGTGTAGCGCTTAGTTTTTCTTCATGACTCTTCATGGTCATGGAACACTCTGGTACTGTTTTCATCTAAACAAAAAACAAACAAAAAAACAAAAAAACAAAAATCCCAACTCATATAAGATTAGGGCAGGCCTTCTAAGGGACTGTGCCTTCTACAGGAATGACTTCAGAATGATTTGAGAAAGGAGAAAGCGTCCGCTTTCTATAAAAATGTATTGTTAGAGTCGCTTTTTGGGGTTAAGACATTGTCTTTAGAAAGGCCTACTAAATGTAGGCAAAGATTGATATGTTGGTCTATTACACCTACTATAACTTTAGCAAGGACAACTTCATTACGCCAGTTATATGTGAACTCAGAAAGCAGCCTTCATGGTGATAGCCACATATACACAAGCACAAAGACATGCACACACACAATTAAACATCCTTGGTCATCCAACCCTATACTTAGTGCACTGTAACACAAAGTGTGCTCTTAATATATTTTTATTAAATTGACAGGCAGGTGAAGAGGTGTGTGTTATGTGGAGAGATAGATTCAGGTGTGTCTGGGTATTGAAGCCTAGATATTAAGGTCTGGTTATGAAAGTTACAAAGGGTCAAAGGTTTTGTGGAAAGGATGGAGACATTCATGTTTGGGATTTCCAGTTTCATTTCTCAGTCACTAATTTCAAGTCACCAAAAAAAAAAGGGGGTGGGGGTGGGGTGGGGGAAGATGGTGAAAAAGTATCCTAAGTTGGAACACAGTGAAAATGAGTGAAGAGTATAAATGGGTGAATAGTATCCGAAGTTGGAACACAGTGAAAACGGGTGAAAAATATCCGGAGTTGGAACATATTTGTCTTAATTCATTGAGTTTTCAACTGCTCATATGTCTTAAAATTAAAAAAAGAAAAACCAATTTGGTGTAGTACAGTGCCGCACAAATGCTGAGACAGGATAACAATTTCTGCTTTTTATTTTTGTTAAGTCTGAGATTCTTAGGAATTTTGGCAGGATGCAAATAAGATGGTGACGTTCTAAGTTTTTCTATCTGGATGTTTCAAATTCTAACTCACTTCAAAAATACGTATCAATGGGAATTTACAAGGGCCTCAATTGATAGATTTTTTTTTTAAAACTTGAGAAATTCTAGTAATCATCACTTTGCGATATATTATTTATTAATATATTATAATTAGCATTAAAAAAAGAAAACACTCTTTCAGAAAGACAGTAAGTTTTCAAGGGCCAATGCCAGAGGCCCTAACGCAGTCTCTCCCCCGCCCCCCCCCGTACTGAATTAGCGCGAACAGTTCAAACACGCCCACATCCCAGGAAATAATCAGATCCAAGTGATCCAGTAAGACAGGAAGAAAAAGTAATTTGCTGGTCATCTCCAGCATTGTCTTAAGAGTTTAAGTAAAAAATAAAACGAGAAATGTTTCAGAAACCAACTCAGCACCCAGGCTCCAGAATCGAACTTGCGACTTTGTATAAGTGCGGGCCTAGAAATGGACTGTAAAGTTACACGGCGGTGGAGCCCCGGGCAGGGCGGGAGGGACGTCCTCGCCCAGAGAGACCCCTTCTCCGGGCTTTCCGGAAGGCGCTTTGGGAAGCTCGGTCTCCTCGCGGGCTCCTCCACCCGGAGGCCGAGCCTGCGGGACGCGGCGCCGGACGGGGGAGAGGAAGCCGGGCCGGGAGGACGCGGAGGCGGCAACGGGACGCGAGCTCCGGGCGGGCGAAGAGCGTGTCGCCGGCGCTGCGCTGCTGTTGTCTTGGGTGCTGAAAAGCCGGGACCCTCCCGGGGAGCCGCAGCACTTTTCTCCCGGGAGCTGGGGCTGCGGCACCCGGCCGCGCACCTGCTAAGCCCGCCTGGCCCCGGCCCGGAGGGTCCGCCAGATGTGCCCTCCCCAGCGCCCCTCGGGGAGAAGGGTCGGGCACAGCAGGAGACCCCCGAGGGACCCTTCCCCGCCTCCCCGGCAGCCGCGCGCCTCGACCCCCCGCTCCACCTGCGTGCGAGGCG